TGAACAACTGTTCAAGTTGACCTTTCGATTCATCGATACAATCTTGTGTTAGTTCCATGACATTGATTGTAGTTGTTTTTGATTGAGCAATTTTTACAAAATCTGCAGCCGAGGTGCATCTTTCACCACTCTTAATTGCACGATGTACAAGACGGTTCAAAGTCCCTCCCACAGCATCCACGACACCTTTGCCTTGAGAGGTAGCAAAATAATGCCAACTTAAATCCATCTAGAATTTAACGATTGATTATTGGTAAGGATTGACTAAAAATCAATATCACTGTTTACCTTATGTTGTTGTGACAAACGACAAACATTTCGAAACAAAAATTTCTGTTTCAACTGCTGGCTTGATCCATCCGAAAATATATGAACTTGTTGTAGATGTTGAAATCGTTGGGTTAATTGTTCGAGTAAATTATCAATTGAAGCATTGACACAGTATTTATCATGTGTTAAGTTGTTAGAAATGTACACGAAAGATTCACCACCACCACCACCTGCATACCACACATAAGTAGTAAATAAAGATACAGCATCTTGAGAATAATAAGAATTTTGAACAGCATTTTGCATACATAAACGAAAATTCTCACTAAAATCCATCTGTATACAAATAATTTCATCATTTGAAATAATTTTCATTTTTTCAAAAAATGCAGCTTGTTGTCGTTTAATAAAAACATGGTTAAAGAATGGTTCAATTTTTCCTTTAAAGTTAATAAACATTGATTAATTGCATCATTAAATTCATTTTTTTTTTGTTTTTCCATCTTGTAAAACCCATTGAAACCATTGAATACGTTTAGTTGGATTAATTACATTTTTCATAATATTATTATCAAAATTATGTTAACATAAATGGCAACAACTAAACATACATTTTTCTTCTTGTTCATCACAACCAAGCATCAACGTGAATTCTTGAAGTGAATTTAAACCATCACAACTAATATGTTTTGACAGTGGTTTTATCAACAAATTCACATTCTCGTGATAAATGCATAAACAACTACGGTGAGGCATGTAAGAATGTATCAATATATTCACTGGACGTAATTCATTAAATGAAGTTAATGACAGGTCGACATTTTTATTCGAATATTCATTAACAAATAATTGATATGTTTCACGTATGTTATATAATAAAATTCGTTTTTGTAATGTCATTGATTCACCATTATCATCTGTGACTGTGACATAATCACGTTTACCAGGTAATTGATAGGTAATATCATCTCGTTGATAAAATTGACTGACTAATTCTTTCAGTTCGATCGATAATAAACGTTGTTGACGTGTATGTTGATGAGTTGTTTTCGAGATAATATTAAGATTTTGTGCAAGATGTTGTACGACCATTATACGTTTGTTAATATCTTTTGGTAATGAATGAACAGCACGTTTAAGTGCTTTTCCTAATGACTGACGACATTTATACGAAGATTGATGACCATTTTAATTTTTTAATTTTTTTTTTATCACGATATTTTTTTGATGCTTGTTTCTGTCGAGCTCGTAACTGATGCAATAAAGCACCTTTTGAACTTTGACGTCTTGAATTATCTCGAATACGAGCTTTTCGTTTCATTTCCTCGAATTTTGATTTATTTTTTAATAAATTTGTACGATAGAGCTTTTGTCTCTTGGCATTTGATTTAGCCATTTCACGAGTAACGAATGGAAAATGTAATAAAAATTTCTCTCAAAACAATTTTTCAATA